TGTATGTGATCTATGCTTTCCTTTAGCTGCTGTGTTTCTGCAGCCTAAAGAAAAACAGACTGATTCATGGTGTGTCGAAACAGCCTCAGGTAAAATTACCCATTTGTGGATTTAAATCTTTAACTTAGTCTTAAATAACCCATTATGTGGCTCTGCAGTTCATTCTCTGCAAGAGGATAAGATTTACACTTGGACTATTGTAGTCCCTGACATGTGCTGTGAGTCATGGACTAAAGCCTTATGTAAAGATGTATTTTCCCTCGTCTTAATTTTGAGAGGCACACGGATGCACATAGAGGCACGTAACAGCACATAGATGCTTTTAAAGGCACATGGATGCACATAGAGCCACATAGATGCACATAACAGCACATTGATGCTTATAAAGGCACATGGATGCACATAACAGCACATAGATGCTTATAAAGGCACATGGATGCACATAGAGCCACATAGATGCACATAACAGCACATAGATGCTTTTAAAGGCACATGGATGCACATAGAGCCACATAGATGCACATAACAGCACATTGATGCTTATAAAGGCACATGGATGCACATAACAGCACATAGATGCTTATAAAGGCATATGGATGCACATAGAGGCACATAGCTGCACGTAACAGCACATAGATGCTTTCAAAGGCACATGGATGCACATAGAGCCACATAGATGCACATAACAGCACATTGATGCTTATAAAGGCACATGGATGCACATAACAGCACATAGACGCCTATAAAGGCACATGGATGCACATAGAGCCACATAGATGCACATAACAGCACATAGATGCTTTTAAAGGCACATGGATGCACATAACAGCACATAGCTGCACGTAACAGCACATAGATGCTTTCAAAGGAACATGGATGCACATAGAGCCACATATATGCACATAACTGCACATTGATGCTTATAAAGGCACATGGATGCACATAACAGCACATAGATGCTTATAAAGGCACATGGATGCACATAGAGCCACATAGATGCACATAACAGCACATAGATGCTTTAAAAGGCACATGGATGCACATAGAGCCACATAGATGCACATAACAGCACACTGATGCTTATAAAGGCACATGGATGCACATAACAGCACATAGATGCTTATAAAGGCACATGGATGCACATAGAGGCACATGGATGCACATAGAGGCACATAGATGCACATATATGCATAGTGGCAGATAGAGGAACATTTATACATATAGATGCATAGAAGCCCTTAGAGACACATAGATGCACGTCGGCAAGGCAATGAAGCTTTATTTGTATAGCACATTTCAAACACAAAGCAATTCAAAATGCTACCGAAGCAAGAACAGCAAACACAGTAAATCAAACAAAGAAATGTACATATTAATTTCAGATGTACAGTTTTTTTTTCAGTCATTAACAAGCTCTCACCCCTACGTCAGATACTTGTTTTAAACTCAACACAGATTCACTCCTACAAAACACAATTGGCCAAATGGAATTTTTTCTTCTCAAAAACACATTTTGATAAACATATACTAACTCTTCATTTCAAAATAGAACATTTACTTCTCTACACACACTGCCTTTACCCAAACACTGGACATCTGACTCAAAGTGGAATTACTCAAAAGTAGCACTTGTTTTCACTTCACAAGATACATTCAGTCATTCAAAGTACACCAGGTTTCAAAATACTGGTGATTGTTGACATTACAAAAACTGCATAGAGTTTTACGTTTCAGTTTTAGAGGTATTTGCATGCAAAACATGCAATCCACCATTTTTACACTACATTTTATGGTTGTGAACTGTATGTCCACATTTCAGGTGCACATTTCAAAGCATTCCAGTAAAAAGCTAATCCTTTTTTTTTCTGTGCATTTCAGTCACAACTGCTTTTTCAATAACTTTCCCAATGAAGGGCAAATTAGAAATTGGTCTGTAAGTATTCATCACTAAGGGATCTAATTTACTTTTCTTCAGAAGAGGCTTTACAGCAGCAGTTTTCATTGAATTAGGAAAAATACCTGTCATTAAATTAGATAATGGAATTTTGATACAAATCTATTAAAAAAATAACCTCCACGGGGAGTTCAGAGAATGAATGTAGGGTTTCTCCTTTCAAAGCTATATTTAAAGATAAATAATCAAATTTTTTATTCTATCAGGCACGACACTATGTATGTTTACATCTACCAGCCACTAGAGGGCACCTTTGCACTAAAAAGTCCACTCAGCAAGGCAAGGTTGGGACTGTGTAAAAGGACAGACTTGACAAGTTTTCTGAGCCCAGAAGATGTTCTAATGGTAAATACTGTTGTAAAATAAACGTGTTACTAGAAATTAACCCTTATCCTGTACGATTTGTCTCTCAACGTGGTGCTGGAACGTGTCAGCAGGGAACCAACGTCCCAGTGGCTGGAAAATTAGTCCTGTTGTTTCAATACCACCTCTGAACACCAGAGTTCACCAGATTGTCCATGTTTCAAATTCAGCCTTTAAGGAGCAATTAACAATAAGTGAGTTAGTAGTATATCAAGGCAACAGGTAGATGGGTTTAAGCTTTTAATTATGTTTTTTAGTGTTTTGGCACTAATCATATTGAAAGCTGACATTCTGGACAGTGTGTTGTTGTGTGGCTGTAACAGACGTCTTCTTATATTGGTTGGCATGGAGGAGTGAATGGCTAATTTGATGTTTAAATAGATGCATAGAGGCATATAGATGCACATAGTAGCACATGTAGAGGCACACAGATACAAATAGATGCACAGAGGTACATAGATGCATATTGTAGCACATATTCAATTCAAGTTCAATTCAAGTGTATTTATATAGCGCCAAATCATGACAAGAGTCGTCTCAAGGCACTTCACATAGTAAGCATTCCAGTACAGGCATTCCAATAAACATTCCAATAGAGGCACATAGATACACATAGTGGCACATATTGAGACACATGGATACACAAAGATACATTGAGGCACATAGATGCACATAGAGGTACACATAGAGGCACATAGTAGGACATATAGAGACACATTCAGTAGATACAAATAGATGCATAGAGACACATACGTAGATGCATATAGTAGCACATATAGAGGCACATGGATACAAAGAGATGCATAGAAGCACATAGATGCATACAGATATCCACAGATGCACATAGAGGTACATAGATGCACATAAATGTACATATATGCACATAGAGGTACATAGATGCACATAGAGGTATATAGAAGCACATAGAAATACATAGATGCACATAAATGTATATAGATGCACATAGAGGTATTTAGATGCACATAGAGGTACATAGATGCACATAGAGGTATATAGACTCACATAGAGGTATATAGATGCACATAGAGGTACATAGATGCACGAAGAGGTATATAGATGCACATAGAGGTACATAGACCCACATAGAGGTATATAGATGCACATAGAGGTACATAGATGCGCGTCGAGGTATATAGATGCACATAGAGGTACAGTACATAAATGCACATAGAGGTATATAGATGCACATAGAGGTACATAGACCCACATAGAGGTATATAGATGCACATAGAGGTACATAGATGCGCGTAGAGGTATATAAATGCACATAGAGGTACAGTACATAAATGCACATAGAGGTATATAGATGCACACAGAGGTGCGTAGATGCACATAGAGGTATATAGATTCACAGAGGCACATAGATGCACTGTGGCACATAGGTATACATCACTTTGAAAACAGGATTGTCCTTTTATTTTATTTAGCATTATTTTCAGGCATAGCTACAAATTATTTTTCCATGGTGGTGCCTACAGTGTCACCACACATATAGACTCAGCTGATCTGGAGAGGCTCTTTCACTAAATCTGTCAGGATGATTATGTTAACATGGTGTAAATATAAACATGGTTAAAACTTCATGTCAGAGGTCAGATGACTCATTACCGGTTATTAATTAGTATCATTCACATATTAGTTTTAAATGCATTTAAAATGTAATAAAATATACATATACACAGACACTTTGTTTTTATCATCTACTCATTTGACTGTTTGTAGCTGTTTTCTTGGTCTTTGCTGTCCTCTTCTGGTCAAATGTATTTAAAGAAATAACTGTTCCTTTTTCGAAATGGTCTGGGCTACTTTCATGTTAAGATTCAGGGTCATTTATTGCAAATGATATAAATCACAGAATTGTGGATGTTTTCTTTTCAAAGATTCTCTAACAGCTCACATGTTACTGTATTCATGTGCCCGAATGTGTGTTTTTGGTAACAAGCTGGTTTATTCGCAAACTTTTAGAGAAGCTAAAACATTTAGTTTCAGTTTTCTGGAATTCTGGAAAAATGCTTAAGTATCCAAAAGCATATAATGAGCTCCAGCTTTTAGCAGAGGTGTGGACTCGAGTCAAATGACTTGGACTCGAGTCAGACTCGAGTCATTATTTTAATGACTTCTCACTTGACTTGATAAAATCTATAAAGACTTACGACTTGACTCTGACTTGATCGCCAATGACTTGCGACTTGAACTGACTTGCATCTGTTGACTTGATGATGACTTGAGCATAGGACATGGACAACAATCATAAATCATTCTTCGTTCTGGGTTTGATTTTGTTCTGCTAAATGCAGCAGCGCTTTGTTTATGATCAGTTTCAGTTGAACTTTCTGCTTGTTTGAGCAAATAAATGAAGCTTTAAGAAGCTTTATTTCTGGAATGTATTCATTATTATTGTCATTAAACTGAAGTGGGACAGATGACTTGAATATGACTTGAAAATTCAAAGTTAAGGACTTGGACTTGACTTGGACTTCCACATCACTGACTTTGGAATCAACTTGGACTTGGTTGTCTTTGACTTGACTGGAAAGACTTGTGACCTGCAAAGCAGTGACTTGGTCACACCTCTGGCTTTTAGTGTGTCCTACCTTTAAATATAAGAAAATATCATGTAAGGTAAAGCTCATCAGAAACGGTTCATTTGTTTGTGTTTAAGGGGGGTTCGGCCTCTAACCTGAACATGAACCTGTATGCCACCAAGAAAACAGCAGCTGAAGGCATGCTGGACATCGCTCTGTTCCTGGCAAACATCACACACATGAAGACTGTCATCGAGCAGGGCGCAGGATACAGGTATGGTGGTGTGTTTACCACAGCTCTTGGAGGAACCATTGAACTGCTGTTTCCTGCAGAGTTACCTTTCACGCTTTCTTTCTCAGGTACTACGTTGCTGTCCTGACACTCATTTCCTTCTCCTTGGCACTTCAGATAGTAGCCGGTGTCCTGATTATCATAATTGGTGAGCACCACAGAATCAGCTGGCTTGACTTTAAGATTAGGAAGTTCCTCTTCCACGTTGCTGACCTGTTTTCTAACACACTAATCTACTAACTCAGTAGAAAACAGTCACCAGACGTATAAAATTGACGTATTGTTGTTGTTCGCCTCAAGGGCAACATGCCGATTATCACTTGTAAGTCGCTTTGGACAAAAGCGTCTGCTAAATATATAAACATACAGTATATAAACATATATAAACATATATATATAAATGTTGTTCTTTCAACACCGACCAGAGCAAACATCCCTCTGCATGAGCTGTGTGGTGTTGTTGTTCTCTTTTGCACGTGTTCATAAATGTGTGTTGCAGCTCGGGGAGACATCACTGAACAGGTCAACCAGAAGCGCCTGGACAGCTTGAACAACATCACGACCATCGTTATCTTCCTCATCTTCATCACCAACATCTTCATCTCTGTTATGGGGATGGAACGCACCGGACTGTTTGCCAGGATGCACTTTTGAACTTCTACACAGATAACAAACTTCCACTTGCTCACTAACAAACTACACTTCTATAACAACTATGTCTATGATGGATAAAATGTTGATTTTGATTGATTTCAAAACTGGAATGAATGAGCAGGATCAACAAGATGTGTGTCTGTCTCTGCTTTGTTGTCTGTCTGTCTGTCTGTCCGTGTGTGTGTGTCTGTCCGTGTGTGTGTGTGTGTGTGTGTGTGTGTGTGTGTGTGTGTGTGTGTGTGTGTGTGTGTGTAGCTCGTTTTGAGCTGACCCTCCTCCCTTCTTGTCAGCGTTGCCTAAACTTCCTGAACAATCTGGTCACTGGCATCGTCTTCTTAACCCTCATTGTAAACATCATCAAAGCTGCTTTCGGCACCCAGCGCAGCTGCCTCCTGCGGTGGCTCTTTCAGCGCTTCATTTTATGAGAGGCATGCAGAATTTCAGTATGTATCAGAAACAAATGATAAAAGGTAAAGTGTGAGAATGGACAAGTCTGTCTTATTATTATGGGCTGCATGGTGGCGCAGTTGTTAGCACTGATGCCTCGCAGCAAGAAGGTTGCAGGTTCGAAACTCGGCTGTGGCCTTTCTGCGTGGAGTTGCATGTTCTCCCCATGCATGCGTGGGTTTCCTCCGGGTACCCCAGTTTCCCCCACAGATCACAAAATGCCCTGCAAGTTAAATAAATTGTACGTTGCTTTGGATAAAAGCGTGTGTCAAATAAATAAACATAAACGTAAATATTTCATGTTAACGTCTCACAGAGGTTCACGGTTATTTAGTAGTTGAAAATCCTCCGTGGTGCACCTATTGGTGAATTCCAAGAGTAGTGATCTGGTCTCTGTTGGACTTAGTAATAAGTAAAGTGGTGCTGACACGCCTGGCTGGCACTGGAGTCCTCTTCCAACACATTTCCTGCATATTTTAGATCATGAACACAGCTGATTTGTCTGATTTAGAAATGTGTCCCTCCTGTAGAAGCTAATGAAGGCTGAGGAGACATTTCAGCTGTTCGATTAAGGTGTTAAATAAAAGACAAGCACATGGCGAGGAGATAAGTTTCACTTTTGCTTTCACTAAATGGACACTAGGGGGGGCTAAAAGCAAGCCAAAACTGCATAGTATCCCTTTAAGTGGTGGAGGGGCGTGTGACTGAATGAGTGGTCTGCATGCTAGAGGAAACTGTGAGTGTAAACAGTGAGAATGTACGGATCAATCTGAGTGTGAGTTGGAAATGTTTGAAACTGTTTTTGTGCGTCTGTGCACGTGTTCGTGTGTTGTAGCACGTAGGGACCTGAATGTGGTGTCCAATCAGAAGCGACTTGACTACCTGAACAACGTTGCAACGGGCGTCATCTTCGTCACCACGGTGGTCAACTTCTTCGTTAGCTTCTTCGGATCCAAGAGGACAGGTTTCTTCCGCTGGCTGCTGGCAAGACTCCACTTTTGAGAAGAAACGCACGCCAACGCAATCACTTTCAAACTCCCACGTGTGCAACAACCTGCACAAATGTTGCATTAATTGTGCAAACGTTGATGTGAAACATTTTTTAGAAAGTAAAAATGTTTCCAATTATATAAAATTATGACACACTGGTTTTTGTTTAACCTTCATAAAGTAATTCCAATAAATGTTTGCTGTTTTTATTAGCTGCCAAGTCTTTTTTAATGGATGTTTTTGCTGAACTAAAACTGTTGATGTGATTCACTGTCATATACTTTTAGTGTAACTTGTGCACTTTGTTGCATGTTGATTGGATTTTTTTAACCCTCCCACTGTCCTAATGGGTGTGACCCCGCAAGGAAAATTGACCATTGAGCAGGATTGATGGTTTATCCCTTGGGTCCATGTGACAGGGGTGAGGAGTGAGCACCACCTCACCCCAGCCATGTGGACCTCAAGGGATAAACCATCATTCCTGCTCAATGGTCAACTTTGCTTGCGGGGTCACCCATAAAGACAGTGGGAGGGTTAAAATAAAGTTGTTTTAGATTTAGTAATTTAATTTGTGAAATGACAAGCATTAAGTGTCTTTATTAGAGTCACCATCAAACATAAATCAGGGAAAATATGTGCAAACTGTGCCTTTCTGAAAGCTCAATAAAGTGATTTAACAAAATGTTGTGTTGTGATAAATGACTTTTTACCAAAACTGTGTCCGTAATCTGGCTTTTTAATGTCAACAAAATGTTTTAAGACACGGTCTGAACTATTTTTCTGTTGTAAACGTGTTTTTGTGTGTGAACCAGGCCGTCGGAACCTGAACAACTCCACTCTACAAAATCGACTGGACTACCTGAACAACGTGACCACCATCATAGTCTTTGTCACCACAGTCCTCAACTGTTTCATCAGCACTTTTGGCATGCAGCGGACCGGACACTTCCCATGGCTTATGATGCGCATTCACTGAGACAAACTATTAAACCTTCTAACTGGAGCAACAAAGGTTTATAGTATGCTTCTCTGCAAACAGACAACTGGACTCCTAATTATATAACTAAAAGTTAATAAAGGTCTAAAATACAACATGTTTGCCCTATTTTTAGATTATAACGTCTCCACTGTGTGGCTAATTTATTCAGAAGTGAAATAAATAGTAATCAATTCCAACTGTTTGTCTGTAATTCATACCAAAGTTCACACATTTCAAATCAAATAAAATTTTATTAATGAAGCGCCTTTCATGCAACAAGTGCAAGTCAAAGCACTTTACAATATTAAAAACAACGATGAGATCGATCATGACATACTTTTGGATCGGCTACAACATTGGGCGGGAATTACCGGTGCAGCCCTACAGTGGATACACTCCTACTTATCCGACAGGAATTTTTGTGTCAGTGTAGGTGAAACCTCCTCAACCTGGGAGGGACTCAAGTGGGGTGTGCCACAGGGGTCTGTACTGGTTCCGCTTCTTTTTGCCATCTACTTACTACCGTTGGGGAATCTTCTTCAGCAGTTTGGCATGCGTTTTCATTTTTATGCTGACGACTGTCAGATCTACCTCCCCCTTCAGCGGGGGGTCGATGGGTCATTATCAAAGCTTGTAGATGCCTTAGAGCAGGGATTCCCAAAGGGTGGTGCACGCACCCCCGGGGGTGCACGAGCTGCCGTTAGGGGGTGCGCGAGGTGAAAAGTGTAATGGCTTCAGCACTCTGGCCTGCGCACGCCAATATGTTCCGTATTTGATCATTTTTAACGGTGTTGGCAGTGGCGGCTGGTGAAAAATATTTTTGGTGGGGCTGTGCTATTTTTTATTTTTAAACAAACTTGTGCTTTCTGAGCTTTGTGCACAACTTCACTATTTCCTGAATTAAGCACAGCTCTTTTATTTCCTGTCTTACATCATTGGACAAACTGATTAATCCAGGTGTGTCTGACTATTGGCACGCTGCCTTGCGGACCAAGGTTGAAAAATACTGCATTAAATTGCACATAAAATAACATGACCATAAATGGTAAATAGGCAATGCAAGAGGCAAGTAACAAAAACATTTTGTTTAATTTCAACATTTGAGTGAACACGAAAAATTATGAGCAGGTCACTGTTACAGTAATGGTAGTAAACACTACTTAGACAAAATGCCAGAAATTTACACTGTTAAATATTTCTGGAGTGTTGTGCCAAGGTCAACTTTATACAAAGATCAAGTGGATGCATTTGTGTGTGTGTGTGTGTGTGTGATACCTCATTTGTACAGAAATTTTGCCCTTCTGTCCTTCTGAGTGGCAAAGCTCTCGATGAGCTTTTTATTGAAGTCAGGAATGTTTGTGACAAGCTTTTTTTCCATGGAGAGCATGGCAAGAGCATTCAGCCGATCCTGTGTCATGGTGTTCCTCAGGAAAGTCTTAATCCTCTTTAAAGTAGATAAATAAAAAAACAACAGATAAGTACATAGGAAACACTTTCATAGGAAATAATGTCATCAGTATCCTCTTACAAATGTCATATTTCCCAGTTTTTGGGAAAATAAAACATTTCTGATTCTCAATTAGATGTTTTTACATTTGAGGTAAAAACATCTAATTGAGAATCAGAAATGTTTAATTGTCCCAAAAGCTGGGAAATTTGTTTGCTGCAGCAGAAGTGTAACAAGTAAAATGGAATCAGATTGATGTATGTACAAATTTACATGAAATACACATTTACGTGATTAAATATGTATAATAAGTATGCGTGTTGAAATTAGTTTTTACAGTTATTGCACATTAAACAATGTACATGTTATTAAACAAATGTCCCGGTTTGTGGGACAACCAAAGATTTCTGATTCTGATTATCTTGTTCACAGAAATGTAATGTACAGCTTACCTCTGCACCCAGCTGCTGCTGTTCTCCCTGTCCAAACGTCCGTTTCTTCCGTTTCCCTCGTCGAGCTGCATGGCAATGTTAGCTCTGCCTAGCATGGCTAGCTTCACCGTGTTGTTGTCCATGTGTGCCCGGGATGACTCGTGTTTCTTCACCTTCTCAGAAAAAATTTTCATGTCTGTAACTCCTGACTCAATCCATGCCTTGTCCCAGCCGTTTTGAATAACAAACACGGAAAGCAAAATAACACATTAGCGTGATTGCATCCAGCTAGCCAAGCCTTCCTGATGTACCAATTTTGGGAGAAGCCTCGTGTGTACAGTTTACCTCTCTCCTTGTCCTGCTGGCTTATCTTTACGTCGGGCTGATCTGGTCCAAGCTCTTTGACATTAAGTTTTTCCACCATAGTTCTCCTCTCGAACGGATACTGGAGAAGAGACCGAACTGAATTCAGTGGCTGCTGAGATCCGGTATCCATGCTGGTTGTAGTCACTGGTGGCGTCCATGTTACATCTGCGTCACGACCAAAAACGACTCTGCCGTGTTCTGCCGAACACCAACGAAAGCCTTTGGTGGTGGCTCTATCGCCCATCATGCTTCTGAAACAACGTTGACGCTGATTGGATACATTCCCATTCCTACCGTTTGATTTTCTTGTCAGCAATTGGTTGGCGGGTTCTGTGCAGTTTGGGCGATTCAAAAACAGCCTACAGCCTTTCTGTTGCCTCCACCGCTCGGCAGAGAGCTTCTCATCAATATAGATATATAAATATATGATTTGTTTTTGTTACAAAACACACAATTAACTTAGAATATGTGATTATTGTTCATTTTATTTATTTATTTAAATAAAAATTAAAAACACTGGGGAAAACTGGGAGGGCGGCGCCCTATCGCCCTCTACTGGCCAGCCGCCACTGGGTGTTGGAGGAATCTGAAGGTGGTGAGTCATTCTGGCAGATTGTAATTAACACCCTGTCTCATGCAGGTGTTCTGGCATTGTAAACCTCACACACAGAACATTGTGGATGTAACAAAATAAATCAAAAAATGATTCCCATTCAGGCTATTAACAGCGTGCTGAAGATCTGAAGTTCAGAGCACATCTGTCAGAGGTCAGATGCGTTCCAGCGGAACCACGGCTCACAGGTGCACAAGTGAGCACATCTGGGCTGGGCAGAAGTAATTTTACAACATTGGTTTAAATAGCGCCAATTACGAGACGCGGTGACTTGAGCGGCTCATGGAGCTGTGCCGCGCACGCACGCACACACACACACACACACACACACACACACACACAGATTCAATAAGCACGCACGCTGCGCAAACTCCGGCGCACCGTCAGACTGAAGGCAGAAATGAGCGCTGCCTCCTCTGTGATAAAAACTTTTAAGAGGTTTTATAACATTTTTCATTCCAGGTCAAATTAAGATATTAGCTTCTATTTTGGGATGACGTATTAAAGTCGGGTCCGCTCCAGCCAGTGACTCCTCATGAACCTGACCACAACTCATGTTACTGCAGCATTTGTTATTCCAGTCCGCATGGCAGCGAATCGCAGATTCAACCACACCATAAAACAGCAATAAGTCGGTCTGAGGCAAAAGTGAACCTCATGGCTAGATCTTTTCCATATTTTCCCCTATAGACATTTGATTACGCACAAGTAGGTGACCAGCTCAGGTTTACGCAGAGCAGAAAGAAGGAGAGCGCTCTGGCCGCACAGGTTAAACGTTCCTACTTTAAGAAAACCGTTAAATTGCATTGTTTATGTGCTACCTGGGCACTCTAAATATTTATTTAAAATTAAATCAAAGGAAATTGTAATGGTATCGAATGTTTATTAATTACTATTTAAAAAATGAAAGTGATGGGGAAAAGGTCGATCATATTTTTTTAACCCTGTCTGTTTAGCTTGACGTCTGATATATATATATATATATATATATATATATATATATATATATATATATATATATATATATATATATATATATATATATATATATATATATAGCCATGCCCTGATGTGGGGGCTGGGGGGTGTCGACATGGTCGGGACATAGAAGGGGGTGCGTGGCTAAATAAGTTTGGGAACCACTGACCTAGGCTTTACTTGAACACAAAAATACTGCTTGCTTGCAGTGATTTAGGTATGTACTGGCCCTATCGCTAGGGAAAATACACATTGCTACTTTAATTTTAGAGTAGATAGGCTAAAGTCTCTCTGATAGACAAAATTAATCGTGAAGCTTTTAGAAACCAGATGACAAAAATGTGGCAGTTTTATAGTCAACAAACAACTAAGTCCTTCAGGGGTACTTATGAGTTAAACAATGCTCATGAAATACGTATGTGGAGTAACCAAGTAGGTAGGTTTTAACCATTTAACATTGCAAATCTGCAACACCTGCCTCCAGAGGGTTCAGTTCAGAATCACTCTTTCTCACCTTTTCTCTCTCCAGACATGGCTGCAGCAAGCAGCACACTGTTCCACGACCAGTTCTTGTGTTCAATCTGTCTGCACACTTTTGAAGAGCCTGTGTCTACCCCATGTGGACACAGCTACTGTAAGAGTTGTATCACAGCAAACTGGGACAGTAAAAGCAGTGACCTGGCTCATTGTCCTCTCTGTAAGAAGATATTCAACAGCAGACCTCAGCTTCAAGTCAACACAGAGTTCAGAGACATGCTGGAGCATTTCAGCCGCTTCAGACTAAAGAACCAACAGGAGGTCATTGCCCAGCCAGGAGAGGTGCCTTGTGATGTTTGCACTGGAATGAAGCTCAGAGCCCACAAGACGTGCCTGGTGTGTTTGGCCTCGTATTGTGAGCCTCACTTGGAGCCCCATCGCAGCCGAAAGAAGCACAAGCTGATCAACCCTGTGCCAAACCTGGAGGACAGGGTTTGCAAGAAGCACAACAAAATGTTGGAGCTCTTCTGTCTCGCAGACGAGCACTGTATTTGTTTAATGTGCTTGGATGACGATCATGCCGCACACAATGC